CCTTCCTTCCTTCCTTCCTTCCTTTCTCTCTCTCTCTCTCTCTCTCTCTCTCTCTTTCTTTCTTTCTTTCTTTCTTTCCTTCTTTCTTTCTTTCCTTTTTTCTTTCTTTCTTTCTTTCCTTTTTTCTTTCTTTTCTTCCTTCCTTCCTTCCTTCCTTCCTTCTAATAAATTTTAAATTTTAAATGCTCCAAGTTTCCTGCCCATTCATGCATGCAGCAGACTTTTTCTCAAGCATCTACTCTGTGGAGAAGTGGGGTCTCTGCTGCAAGGAATCTCAATCAGCTTTGGTTGTCACTATTCAGGGGTGGGGGCTTATTTGCTGTTTGTCTATTTTGAGACAGGGTCTCTGTAGCTTTGAAGAATCCTTCTGCCTCTGCTGGGATTCCAAGGGTCTTTTATTGTGCCTAAAACAATAGCATGATTTGTGACATTCTGTAAAGAGGGATGAGGCTCAAGCTAACTCTGCTTCCAGAGCTCATGCAGAAGCACCTGGTAGGCACAGCCAGGAAGATCCCTGGAGAAAACAGGCCGCAGCATTCTGAACAGGGTGTAGGATGGCCCAGGAAGCCCAAAGGGCAATATAGGTGTGAGTGGTGGGCCAGGTCAGCCCCTCTGGCTGTCCTTGGATTAAAGAAACCCATTTGGCAGAAGGACTCGCCCAAGGGCCTGTAGGCCTTGGCAGATGACTGCAACCACCGAGGAGGTTTTGTGCTCAGTCCCAAGGCTGGGGAGGGTATTGTTACGGGACAGAGAAGCACAGCCAGACCGTGAGGAAGAAACTGAGGTACCCAAGAGCTCTGAGGCTCAGCCTTGGTCAGATACAAGGCCTGCCACACCCCCACGACTCGGGCCTCGAGGCCCTCATGGATATAGCAGGGCGTTGGGAAGTGTGTGTGTGTGTGGGGGGGGTGTTTTGTTTTTTTTTTCTTCCCTAAAACATTGTATATTTAATAAACATACTTGAAATCATTAAACATATTAAATGTCTTCGCATATTTAAGCATGGCCGAGGAGATAGGACAGTAGGTAAAGTGCTGGCCACACATCCGAGTTCGGATCCCCAGCACCAGAGTTAAAGCCAAAGCTGGACAGAGTAATGCACCCCTGCTGGAAGATGGGGACAGAGAATTGCTGGAAACTCTCAGGCTGGCCTAGTTGGGCACATGCAACAATTAACAGCAACAACAAATACCTTTTTCAAGCAAGGCGAGAGGTGAGGACAACGCCTGAGGTCTTCTCCAACACACTTGGCATCTCTGGCGCAAACACACCCTCACTCGCACACGCAATAGGAACGTGCAGAAAAGAAAAAAAGAAAGCCCACAGCCCCGGGGGAACTGGGGTGGGGAAACGGGATGCTCTACTGCTGCCCCACTAAAGCTGACCCCCCCAAAACCCACACTTACCCTGAGCTAAGTCACACAGCTCTCCAAAGCAGCTCAGCTGGTTTCTGGCGGAGAGACCATCACAGACCATGCTGATGATCTGGGTTCCCTAGCAGGCCGCCCCCGGGAAGCCGGCCGGAGCCGACTCCTCCACCACTCACTCACACAGCACTAGGCTTTCCTGTCCCAGAGCTTGTGGCCATGTGAGAGTTCGCAGTTAGGGAAGGCTCTGAAGACAAGAAAAGGCCACTTGTGTGGACATGGCCCCCTTCTGTTCAGGTCTTCCTCACCCACAGTCAGGCAGACAGCAGTGTGCTCTCTGACAGCATTTCCAGAGAGCCTCGGGGCAGCCAGGGGCAGGTGTCCAGGAAGCCACGGGTTACCAGACAGGCTGACTGAAGGCAGGTCTGGGTGTCTCTGCTCTGCGTGTGGAGAGGGCGGTTTCTGCAGGGTGATCGTGTGAGGAAACAGAGTTCCCTCAGAATGTCAGAACGGAAGGAGAAGTAACCCAGGGTAACACTGGGGAGATTTAAGAGACCAGAAGAGATGCGCAGTTGAAGGTGAGAAGGGCAGGCCCAGAGCCGCGAGGAACCATGGCCTAAGGTAAGGAGACGAGCTCCACAAGGAGTCAGTGTGTGTCACATGAGAGCTGAGAGACAGTACAGGTGTGCTCTGAGGGCTGGCAGATCTGGAAGCCCAGGGCGGTCTACCTCAGTATCCTACTTTGTAAGAGTCTTCCCCTCCCCCCCAAGACAGTTTCTCTGTGTATCAGTTTTAGCTGTCCGGGAGCTTGCTTTGTAGACCAGGCTGGCCTCGAACTCACAGAGATTGGCCTGCCTCTGCCTCCCAAATGCTGGGATTAAAGGCGTGCGCCATCAACGCCTGGCTTTGTAAGAACCTTAATGATTAGAGATCAGAAAACTGACAACCTCCAGCGCAGGAATGAGGATGAGGCACACACACACACACACACACACACACACACACACACACACAACACCAGTCCTCCATTGCATCAGAAGGCAGAAAGTGAACCTCAGTCTCTTGTCCCTTAGATACAGACTTCATTCATGCCCCCCCCCCCCCCCCCCCCGCGCGCGCGTGCTCTTTCCTTCAGCAATTAGCTATTCTGCAGCCCCCCCAGGTGGCTACTGACCTGCAGAGGCCTCAGAAGAGACCTTCCTAGGTCCCAGCATGCATTGAGAAAGGAAGGGGAGGAAATTGAAGTCTGGAGAAAGGGAGAGATTCCCTACTACTGGCCCAGGGGCAAATCAGACCCACAGAGATGGATGGGAGGCTAATTGGGACAAAACAATTCTATCCCAAAGGTGCCCAGGCTCTGGAGGATGACTCATCCCACACAACTGGTCCCAGCTCATGTCCTGGCTCATCACTATGAAATGTACCCCACCCACCTCAGGCTTAGACAGACTCACTGTGCTGCCCTGTGTGAGACTATATGCGCATGTGTACATCCTCCAGCTCCAGGGATTCCCCCACTACCCATGAAGCCTTGGGATGTGGGAACAAGGCGATGGGAAGGACAAGGCTGGGAAAACACAGGCACAGGAGAGGTTTTGAGACCCTGTAAGGTGCAGATCTGTTCCCTGCCCACAGCCCACCTGCAGCCCTAACTAGGGAACCCTCTCTGCGAGTTTCGCTTGCTAGAGCTGGTATGTTCTCACAGAGATCCCCTCTCTGCTCCTGCCCTGCCAGCAAAGAGGGTGCTGGCTGTGGGTAAGGACAGGGACAGAGACAGGAAGTGGGGTACTGCTGAGGAAATACTTTCGGTGTTTGCTTTTTGTCGCAGATCACTAGAGGAAAGACATGGGCCAATCTAGTGTATGGATCACAGCATGCTACTTGGAGTGTAAGAAAGTCGCTCTTTTTTTTGTTTGTTTGTTTTGTTTTTTTTAAGACAGGGTTTCCCTGTGTAGCTTTGCCCCTTTCCTGGAACTCACTTTGTATACCAGGCTGGCCTCGAACTCACAGAGATCTGCCTGCCTCTGCCTCCTGAGTGCTGGGATTAAAGGCGTGCGCTACCACCGCCCAGCAAAAAGTCGCTCTTAAGCTGAGCCTGGCACTCAGGCCTATACTCCCAGCTACTCGGGAGGCTGAGTCAGAGGATCCAATATTCAAGCCAGCCTTGGCTACAGAGTGAGTTCAAGGGCAACCTGGGCAATTTTGCAACACTGATTCAAAACAAAAAGTAGAAAGAAGCTCAGGGGCAGCGTGCTTCTTCCTAGCACACCCAG